CAAGCGCGGATATGTTTTCCATGCTCGCCACCGCCCGCTCCCTACTGTAACCGGCAAGCGGTCTCATTCGTTTTTGTGTGAGCGTCGCGTTCACACCAGGGGGGTGAAACTCATATGGGCGAATGGGAAACAAAGCAGTGTTGCTGGTGCATAATATGACAACCATGCCGTACCCTCAAAAAATGACCGCTTATTCACAACTGACGTTGTCTGATTGGTCAGATTTGAATTTCCGGTGGGTTTCTTCCTACGCTTTGCATAAATAACCTTACTTTTTCAGCAAGCCATTTTCGTTTTACGTAACATAAACATTTCATTTTAATTTGAATAAGGTCCCTATTATGTTATTTGAGACATGCCTTTTGTTCAGTGTTGTGAAGTATAAAAATGTAAGAGCCCAAAGCTGTAATATATTTGTAAATACTATAAGACAAACTCCAATTAACCAAGAGCAAAGGTCCTACGGACCGCTCTGACAGACAATGACGAATAGAAAAAAAGTCCAAATTAAAACTATTTATTTTTTTAAGTTGATCCAAATGATCCCAGTCAGTAGCCAGGCTTCTGGCAGAAGCTGAGGAAGATCAGGGTTACTCATTTGAGAAATGTAATATTTGAAGATCGCACCTGTTTGTATCTCCACATCACTTTTTGAACAGTGGAGCGCTACGAGAAGTTCAGCAGCTGCCGTTGTCAACCCTTGAGGTCCTGAGAACTATCAGAAGCTCGAATATTACTTCTGATCTAACCAAAAGGCACAGCTCTGAAGGATTTTTGCAGACTATAACATTTGTAAGTTTTTATATGACTTGATAACCAGTGATGATTTGTACTGCTTTTGGTCCAAATTAGTTCCCATACTTCATTTTAAATCAGCTATTTTCAGAGCAGCAGGGTTGATATGCAAAAGTCACTGTAGTTACAATAAAAGCGAAGCCACATGTAGTTATTGAACAATAACATGGGTGCCCACAGGGTGGTGTCAGAGGGGCCATGGCCTCTTCTTTGAATTCGCTTTGACTTTAATGTTCCCATATTTAGCATGCTTTTGTGTACAACTTTGAGAATTTATAGGATGTGTCACCTCCTGAGAAAATTGCTCCCTCTCATCAAAAAATTTTGGGGGCAGGTACAATTTCCCAAAAGTTATCTCTTGATGATGATCAGCACCTCTGAGAAAAATTCCTGTGAGTACCCATGGACTATTGTTCTAATAAAAAAGAAATCTGAAATTGTAGTAACATATCAACACAATTCAATTGTTTCCTAATTTCTTATTTAAGCAGATGCCAACAAAGGCTGGGGAATGAGAACATCTGGACCATAATGATGTTAACACTGATTTGTTTGTAGAAAAATGTGTCAGATTTATATAGTGAATATATATTTAGGTATTTGCAATATATGTTCTTCTTTTGAACCTTTCCAGATTAGTAAGTAGAGTGACCTTATAACAGCTTGTGTTATTGACGTTGCTACTTTAACATAGCACTTATTCGTCAAGTTAGCGCCTAATGTTAATAGCACATGCTGTTATAAGATCTCCCATTAACCACCGAATTTCTATATATGAAAGTATAGCAATCTCAGATTTATATGTAAAGCTGGCAACGTTGCGAAATATTAATGCACAATCTGGAAACCATGTCGCACCCTCAAAAAATGGCCGCTGAAAACTACACAAATCCCCGTGTTGCCATTGAATAGCATGGAATTAAACCTTCTTCAGTGTATATGTTTTGTGGTTCACACGTTATTGCGCTCCGCTCCGCACAAGACAAAAAATCGATACTATTCGAACGCTGTGGCCTTTGCTTACAGGTATTGTGATATTATTTACCAGTAATGTACATTTAAAGTGTCCTAATATCATAATTTAGTTTCTTCACGTATAAATAATCACAGTGAATGAAACACTAATGCCACGATAATGTATAATAATAATTTATAATAATATGTTTACTGATTTACTAATTGTATCAATGCAGCTTTGGCAGATAACCATCTCCTCCCAGGGCTTACTTTCTAGCATGGAAAAACACAAGAGAAGCCGCTCCAGGGAGAAACTGTCGCGTAGAGATATGCAAAAAACAATTGATCAGGTCCGCGATAGACTAAGAGGCACTATCGAGACCGTGGGTCTAATCCACGTAGCACAATTGGAGTGCTTCTCCGTGGAGGTCCCTCCCCCCTCTCGAGGGCGATCTTTAGTAAAGGACCGTACTTATCAGAAAATAGAGATAGTTCAGACTCGTAGGAGCGTAACCATATCGACACACCTAGGAAACATCGAGCGCTGGACAGCTCAACTTCCGAACGATATCTAAACCTCAGACATACATCGAGAGACTGTCGAGCTTAGAACAACCCAACTTTTCAATGATGTTCAAAGGACAAAATAGACCGATGTAGTTTGAGCCGAGCCTCGTACGACTCGGTAAGTGTACCTAGTGGTAGAAGCCTGACATCTCACGCTCGTGCTCCAAGACAACACAATTTTGCAGGTGACTGACATCGAGAATGTGGTATAACTGCTCCCATAGTGCATTCAGGAGGCATTGGGCATGGATGCTGACACAGGTAAAAAACAATAATATAATATCAACGATGTTATCAGACAGGTCTGGTTACAAACAGTAGCCCAAAACCTGGAGAAGAAAAATGCAGATCAGCTTTTGGATCACCATAGGTCTTCCAATAAATTTTCCAATCTTGACTCTCCAAAAATCAACTCAGAAGTTGCTCATGTCTTTTCTCAAGCGTACGTAGAGGGACCAATGCCACGCAAGATATCAATTATTCGTAGGATAAAATACAAGTGCTCTTGTCAAAGGGTTAAATTGTCGTCAACGAGATTAAGAACAATGCCAATTCAGAACTGAAAAAGCACAGATTACCAAATCTAGCAAATGGCGGAACAGTCATGACTCCGAAAGATAATGTTATTTTTGTGCGAAAAACAAAGGTTACGTTTTTGTCTTCAAAGCAAATTCAAACATTTCGTATTTGTGAGTAATTGAGCAAATGCGCTACGATATTCGAAATACATACGTTACTATACCCATTTTAAAATAAAGCGGATGTGTCTATAATCTTTTGTTGCGAGTTTTGCATGTATATTGCTAAAAGAAACTAGTAGTGATGGCTGGAAAACGGATGTCTTGGGATAAACAATTAGCAATTCTCACAAACTACTTGACCAATCTACTCCACTTTTGATGTGGTTATTTAGAAGTACCAATCCTATGAACCGCCGTCGCATTACCAACGCGTGCCAATACCTGCAGCTTGCCTCTGTTTCCGGCGATAGCTTTTTGCTATTAGTCGGATGTTTTTACGGGTGGTCTCATTCTGTAGGTCTCATAAATACTTAATAATCTTATAAGGAGAGTTTTATCGGACCTTATTTAGAATGAATCTCAAAAAACACGTTTTCTCATTCTTTTTTGTCGAATAAAAAGTTTTCCCACAAAAATTGGTGTACCCGTTTTATGCGTCCATGTTTTGAATACCCCCTTGAGCAACTTGCAGCAATAAAACCAGACTTTAGAATTATTTCGCAAACCAGGGGTATGTTCGTCTAATATGATTAGACTAATAGTGCTTCGCTGCAACACCAACTCCGATCAAAATCAGTCAAGCTTTACACACTTTTCAAATTACTATTGAGCAACAGACAGAACATAAATCACTTTTTAAGTGCAATCTGTATAGCTATTTTATAGCTTAGACTTAGATTTTCCATGAGTCACAATACTCGTATATTCTTCTAAATCGTAAGAATTGTGCTGTAAACGTAAGTGATGTCGAAGAGGGACAGCGTTTGGAATACCAAAGGATACCGAAAATCGCAATGCTCAGTTCCTATAGCTATAACTTATAGTTAGTATGCTTCTGTCGCCATGATGTGTCAGAGAGCAACACAATGGTGTTAGATTACAAAGTGTCAGACGTTTAGGGGGGGGGGCGTCCCCTCTAAATCCGCCACTGCGTTTGGGTGGTAATACTGCTTTAAAAGCTGTTTTTTTCTTGTTTACACAAAAGAATGCTTACCAATATATGCATATAAGATAAACTGTATATTACTGTGATACTGTTAATTGCAACATTGCAATTTTAATGATGAAAATAGAACATTGTAAAGTAGATAGTCATTTCTTTTATTTCACATAAACATTCCCATCGCCATACTACCATCATTATCCTAATTTCTGCACTCACTTGCAATGTTGCCAAATTATGGATAGTAATATACCTTGATTTGGTTTGTCAAATTCTTATATACTAGCGCAAAAATGTGAAATCGGCACAGGATTGCCCTTAAAATGCGATTCGGAGGTGTGACCAGCAGGTTTTACTGTACTAAATCTACCTTGTGTCCTATGATAGCGTTAGCTAAATACGTACACTTTTTCGAAGAATCCCGTATGCGTTTCATAAAAATACTTCGGTTATTGTTTTTCCTATATTATTGTTATAATCTATTCACTTATTGTATGTATGTACTTGAAGAATTATCTAAAGTGAAGCTGATGTCACAAAATATACCTAATTAAATGTGTATATATGAGAGATTACTGAAAAATTAGCTATTGCCAGACACTAAATAATAAAAATATAACAAAGAAGAACATGCACGTTTTTTGATGATCGGATGAAATGGTCGTTCATCTTTATTTAACTATGAAGTTGGACGATCATATATTGGGTGGACCTGACGACGTGGTCCAAATCGACGAATCGAAGTCGGGTATCTTGATATGGAATGACCGCTGGTGCTTTTTGTATTTTTTATCACGCGAGCCGCTGGTGCATTTTCCACTATTTAGACCGAACTGTTCAAAATGTCATCTAATTAGGAGAACTTCTTATAAAACAAGCTATTTACAATAAATTAAGACTTTTATTTTACAAATAACCTTATTTTTTTAATACGTATTTCTCCCAAACAAGTACAACTTGGCAACAATGGACGTCATTTATCTTATCTGTCAAGAAATTAACATTATAAAATGGCAACTGAAAATTATTTACACTATCAAATGTTTCTTGTAAACGCAAAAGCTGTGATCTCATTGAAAATATGCGAAAAAAAGTCGTTGAGAAATTTCAGGAAGACATTGAAAAATTACAACACAATACCTCTACACAGTTTTCCAAGTAAATACCATTATTTACGATATATATTTTGAACTGTTATTTTAGCTTATTACACGGCTAGTTTTGAGCCTCCTTTTTTTGCGAAAACAACGATCTTTATAGTTTCATATCTATATTCCTTGAAAAATGAATACTTCTACTGATTTCTTAAATGCATTCCGAAAAGATCAAAAATTTCGGCCTTTATGCGCCAAAGTATAGTCCTACCATCATTTAAGATTTAAGTTATGTATCTGAAACTGGCATTTTAGCTTGTTATACGGCTAGTTTTTAACCTTTTTCTTTGAAAAAACCAACGATGTTTAGCAGTTTCAAATCTATTCTCCTTAATACTATACAGTGTATGTTATACTCTTATAATTTAGAGCATCTTTTTTTGCAAAAAGCCAAAAGAATCAGCGTATAAAACAGAATTCTATTCTAGAGTATTACCACCAAAAATGCAACTTTGAAAAAATATTTTTTTGTAAAAGTTTCATCCTAATCAATCACTTTAAAATAAGAAATGATATATTTGCAATATGCGCTAAAGTATAGTATTACCTTCTTTTGACTTTTAACTGCTAGAATTTGTCAAACCAAAATGGAAGAATTTTTTGAAATTGAACTGCAGCACATAGATAAAGCCTTTAAAACACACTTTCTACTGGAGCGACATATTCAGCTGGTAGAAGGTAATTGATTCACTGTAATGATCATGAGGCTATTATAAAGGTGTATTTTGTAGACGATGCTGCCTTATCCCAATTTGCGGAAGATGGATATAACTTTCCGAATTTGGGGCTTTTGGAGGCAAAAACGAAATTAATTTGGAATGAAAGGTAAGTTCATGTTGGAGATGAGATTCATTCTTCGCTATCATCAACCATGGATTTTACAATCGGTAGAATGGATGAACTGGAAGAAATTTTACATTGATTGCCATCTACCGGCATAACATTTTCAAGTATATGTTTGTAGAAAATAAATTAAATGTTATATGAATATTTCGCAATGCTTTCTTGATTAAGTTCATTTCTAAGATCTGAAAGTGATAACAAACTTGCCTCTTTTTCCACAGCTTAGCAGAAACGCGAAAATCACAAGCCAAAATTCCAAAATAAATAGCATACCATATAGGTCTATGTCACAGTTTCATTTCACTGCTGGACACCTAAGCCAAACGCTTGTCATGTCACCATAATCAAGAAATTGAATTTTCAAACACACACATAGTTACGATCGAACTTCAGGCAAGTTCTTTTGATCGTTAAATTATTTTTGATAAATGAGTTAATACAGCTGATCTCCGGTGGTTTTTGGTTTGAGTGATACGCTCCCGAACTGCTCGCGAAACAGTGCACGAGAATACAACGCGCAGTGGTGCTGAGCACTACTGAGTTACTCCGAGTTACTCAGAGTAACTCAACAGGGTCACTGGAAAGCAGCTCTCATAAGTTAGTTATAGAACTAGACAGGCGATAATGGCTGACAATAAAATGGAGCTGTAAAGCTCTATAGTGAAGAACTTACCGTACCCTCAATAATATGAGATATCCATTGTAACGGTTTTATCGTCCATGAAATACGAACATTCCGCTCATCTCTACGCATATCTATACCCTCTTGGAAGGCACTGATGGTCGTGCGCTGGTCGATTTCTTGGGTGTATCAATAGGAACGCAATATTGGAATTTAGCCATTTTGGCAGTCATAATGATTCTGACATGACAGATCGATAGTAGACAGACGCGAGTTTATGAAAATTTATCATTAACAGCGTATCCTAATTGTTAATAATTATTACCAAAGTGGTGAAAGCTTAATTGCCACGATTCGAAAAGTGCAGCTAATATTCGGTCGGAATAATGTACTGGTTCTGTCAATGATGTGAAGCATACGAGACGAGCTCGCAGCGGTCGTTCAGAAGAAAATGTCAGAGCAGTTCGCGAAAATGTAGCCGAGAGTCCAGGGACGTCGATTCGTCATCGTGCTCAAGCATTGGACATTAAAACAGCCACTCTCCAGTATATTCTAACTAAAGACTTACACCTGCATGCCTATAAAGTCTATTTGACTCAACAGCTTATGCCAACAGACTATGCACAGCGAAGAGAGTTTAGCAATTGGATCGTTGGCCAACAGCATGTGAATGGTGATTTTGTAGACAAAATCATTTTTAGCGGTGAGGCCCATTTTCATCTCGATGGCTTCGTCAATAGACAAAACTGCCGCATTTGGAGGCACAGAGAATCCAAGAGAAATTCATTAGAAAGCTTTGCATCCAAAACGTGTTACTCTTTGGTGTGCGTTATGGTCTGGAGGAATTGTTGTTACGAGGCGGGTAATCCACTAACCGTGAATGGTGAACGTTATCGTGCAATTATTACTTAGTTTTTTGTGACAAAATTAGAAGTTATGGCTCTTAATGGCATATGGTTTCAGCAGGATGGTGCCACATGCCATACTGCTTATGAAACAGTGGCAGTTTTGCACGAGTTTGGACCTGTTCGAGTCATCTCTCGGTTTGGAGACCAGAATTGAGCGCCACGCTCTTGCAATTTAACACCTTTGGACTTTTGGCTTTGGGGTGAAGTCACAAGTTTATGCCAACAAGCCTGCAACCACCGAAGCATTGAAAGCTGAAATCAGACGCTGCATCAACGAGATACCACGACATGTGTTCAAAAATGTTACCAAAAACTTTATTAAAAGAGTGCGCATGTGCCAGCGGAGCCGTGATAGCCATTTACCTGATGTGTTGTTTCATACATAATTCCATAGTCCAAGAAATATTTTAATGGTTTGTTACGAAATACCATGTTTAAAAGAACCTTGAAATATTGCATCCTTACCCTTTACATTGATCCCCATCTCTGGGAAAATGCTTGTTCTTGACAGTTTTCGTCTACAAATATTTCGGATCAGAATATGTCTCTTTTTGGCAGAACCACTATACAGATAACACCTGCTTGCTCCTTTCTTCCACCAACGTCAATTAAACAAAACAATGTACCTACCAGGTATAAAAATATGTGTTTCGAATAACGAATTATTATTGGGGAACACCCGGATTTTTTCCTTTGGATCCATTTTTTTGACACTGAGGTCTTAGATTTTAGCTTTGAATTATCACCCTAGCCTCGAATTTGGAACCTGCTTTACATAGGACCTAATTCTGGACTCTTGCCTTGAATTTGACTAGCTAATACTTACCTTTGGCCCACATCTGCGATTGGACCTGACTTTTTGAGATCTGCATGCCTGTGCTAATCCAACCTCAGTCTTCCATCAAGCAAGAAGGTTGCAAAGTGGCTATTTCATTGCATTAGATAATTTATTCGCCAAGATTTTATCTTTTAATGTACAGGGTCGGTCAGAAAGAACGCATGTTTTTCGAATGGGTACTACGGGTGGGCTGGTCCCGTTTCGTTGAGGAAGGGAGTGTTGGATAGTGGAAGAAGTGGCGTTTGAGTTGGCAAGATGGTTTGGAACGTTGAGCATCGTGTGTTCACTGTACGTCGGTACTTTCAAAATGGCGAGCCTGTCGTTCGAACGCAACGTGAGTTTCGCGCTCACTTTCCTGTTCCATGTTGTGGGACAGTACCAGAATGTAACACCATTTTGAGATGGGTGGAAGCATTCAACACAACAGGTAGTGTGATGAAGAAAAAACTGCCAGGGCGAAACCGTACGGTTAGAACCCCCGAAAACGTAGACAGAGTGAGAGTTGACACGCTACAAAGCCCGAATCGTTCCGTCCGTTTGCGTGCCAGTTCCCTAGGGATCCACGCAGATGCTAGCCGACGTAATGGGCTCATTTCGGGAGAGGCCTGATTCCTGCATTTCGGCTCAAGGGCGCCATATGGCCGACATGTTTTTTAGAACGTAAATTTTGTTTTACTCTAAAAATGGCATGTATTTCTGAGTATTTTGATATAATAAAGTATTTTTCCCACACTTATTTTGAATGTACCCCTCATTTTAAAAACGTGCGTTCTTTCTGACGGACCCTGTATATAATAATTGTTAGTTTTGATTGATAAACTTTGAAAACGTTCAATGTGTTCTGTTCCGTTCTTCTCTCCCCATGCCATGCCGTTGTCAACTTGGACCCTCATGTCTTCAACTGAGCTGCTGGAAGCTAACTGTAGCCTCTTTTCTGTGTCAGTACAGAAGAGGTGTTACATTCAAAATGTATAATATTTTCTCGACGAACATATAAAGAACGGTTATAGCATACCGTCTTGTTCGTCAAGGCACGTATACTTTTTGCATCGAGATTCAAGTACTACTCGACCGACCCTCGTATAATACCTGTTGGTTCCGTTGGTTCCGTTGGTCTGGGTACGCTTGAGTACCACTATGACCGGTCGAGTCCGATCAGTGTGTCTTTGACTTTGTGGTTCCAAGGTGAAAGATCTCTTAGTGCCGGCGATGAATCACTGAAAGTCTTCGGAGTGTCTTTTTTTACCAAATATAGTGTTTTAAGTTAAAGAAGTGGAACTTGTGCTGTTGGGGCAGGTAAGTTTCGACATAAAGTATCTTCCGACATTATTTAGACCAGGGTATCTACAATTTCGGATAAAATATTGTGTAGACGGATTATATAACATAAATTTATTCTGGAAGGTAAACGAAAATGTTATTCATACAGATATACAAGAATTTTTGTTAGGTAACTTTTTTGTTAACCATCAAATTTAACAAAAATAAGGTGTACCTATAAATTGTTTATTCCAATTCCGAAATTATTTTTTTTACCAAAAAGTGCATGAAAAACATTAAGGAATCCACAACACTTGAAGCTTTTTGGGTTAGTAACACAAAAAAATCTTTAAAAATGGCCTATATTTTCTGAAAAGTTACAATTGGCGCTATGCTTTTTGAGCTTAAAGTCCATTTTTCAAGCTGTCTAGATGGAGCAAACTGAACATATGAGGTCATATTTTAAACATTATTTAATTCTTTACAACGTTTATGAATATACTTCATAGATTTTTTGAATATATACGGGAAAGCGATTTTACTAACTTTGACGTTTGATCAACAATGACCCTGCAAATTTTTAAGCATCCTAAGACTTTTTTATTCATGTTTAAGACTATAAATAGAATAATTGTTCAAACAAAAATTCCGAACAAATGAAATGTGTATTTCGAAGAACTTTACTCCTCTTGTGTGCTCATTTCAAGTACATAGAGGCATAATTGTAAACTTTAATAAAGTACTCATACCATTTGAAAATTCATCTATTTGCACACTAAAAATCTACACAAGTTTTAAGTTTATTGCATACATGAAAACATCTAAACATTCCAGTATTAAAATATTTCATTGACACTCTTCTTTTTATTTTACTACTTGATATTGTTTGATCACAATTTTGACATTTTTGTCAAAAATTCTCCAATCTTCGAATGCCCAACGTTTATTTTTAAATCAGCAAATGGTCGCGCCACTGTGTTCACAATAAAAACAAAAAGTGAATCAAATGGTTGCGCAATTATAACGAGTATTTAACTTTACTGCGAGGGCACTGGCGCAGAGTTTTCAGTTTTATACATGTATTTTTGTCTGCGTGTGTTTTATTTTATCGATTTGAAGTAAGATGTTTTGCGACTATATGTTTGTATGAAAATGCTAAGTTAAATATTCGGATATAAGGGAGTTTTGAACACAACTGTTGCAACTGCGAACCCTGGGATCTTGAAAGACAATCAAGTACTGAATTAAGAATAAAAACGTTGGCAAAAGACAAACATATGTATATTTGAAAGCAGATATTTCAAAGTTGCGATCAAATTGAAATTTAAGTTATTTTCAGTGGTAATCAGGGTGG